TGTTAAAAAAGGACAGACCTAAAAGAAATCGTAAAGGATGGAAGAACAGGCGAAACAAATAGAAAATTACTAACAAGTTAATACATACATATATATGTGCAAATATGCATATTAAATATTCAAAAATAATTGCAATGTCCGATCGACACGTACACAACCCACCCCAATAAAAATTAAATTCGTCGTTTATTTCTTGCGGTTTAAGATTGTGTCTTTTGTGTGTTTCTCTATTCTGTATGAGTTCTGCAGATTTCCAAAATAACCATGAACATGATAATACTATTCGGACTCCTGTCTGGACTCGGCAAAACTGTTAAAGACACTTCTCTGGCTCCTCTCTGACACTCACTCTCTGGTCCGCCCATCAGTTAGATCCTCTAAATATCTCGAAGCATCTGCGGGCTGGTTGCCCATTTTTGGTGTTCTTTTGGGTCCTTTTCTTTTCCGTCTGCACGTTGGTGATGTCTTTCAGTGGCTCTCGTTCAATTTTTTCAGTTTGTTCTCTGTTCTTTGTATATTGTATTTCTGTATTGAACTGTACAGTTTTTAGAGTGAGTGAGAGACAAGTTAGTCAGTCTGGTGAGTCCTTGTTCAAGGCATACTATAAGCAATCCTTAAAGATGGAAAAGAGGCTTCGCAATGGAAGCTTTATCTCTCCCAGCAATAGAAAAAAAAAAGAACGAGAAGGGACGTGTGAGACGCTTCTTTCTCGTCACAACCTTTATACCCGGCACTCAGTACTACATCTGCACCTTAGCGGTTATTCGCGAAATTTTACTTTTTTTCTTCATCTGTCATCTACATCTACAACACTTCTCATAACATCACGCTCCTTTAGCTCACCCTCCTCCCCATGATCCACACACTGTAGAGGCAGAGGCCGCACACTGGGCGAAGCAGAGTGTGAATGAGAGAATGTGCAAAAAACAAATAAAAGGACTCCCTGCCCCACCCAAATCTTTGACGTTTTAAACATGAAGTAAGACCGAAATTATTACTAGGTTAGCCTAGGGTTACCACTAGCCTATCTATACCTAAGTATAGATATATATATAGATATATAGACTATCTATAGTAAGTGATGCCTTACCGTAAAAATCAAAAGAAAATAGAATTTTTAAAATCAAAACCCTCAACGCTCTTTAGCGGGGTCGGAAGGAAGTCTGGATGCAAAATTTGGTGGCTCTAGCTTTTATAGTCTCTGAGATCCAGGCGCTCAACAAGACGGACGGACAGACGGACGGACAGACGGACGGTCCGACAGACATGGAATATATATACTTTATGGGGTCGGAAACGATTCCTTCTGTGTGTTACATACATTCACTTTGTGCACAAATTGTGCACACCCTATTTACTCTTCGAGTACCGGGCATAAAAACAATCGCCAGCAAGTGGATCACTTGGTCAGGCGGCCAGTGGCCCCGGAAACCCTGTCGCAACCCTATCGATAGAAAGCACGCAGTGAGTACTTCACAACAACCACGCTAGATGGCGCCTTGTGTTCTTTATTCAAATTTCTGTTACAAAACCAATAGGAATGATTTCTGTTTGCTTCCTTGGATAATTCAAGTTATTTAAGGAGTTCCTCTTTTTGAGATGGTGTCATGGCGTCCAATTTCAAACGAACCGCTTCGTGAGCCGTCGCCTTTACGTGAGCCATGCGTCCTTCATAATCAGGTATAATTTCCACGACCTTTTCGAAGGTCCTCTGTGTCGCTCTGCGGATCGATGGGCATTCGGTGAAGCAGGACATTGCGTTCTGCAGCATTCGGTGTAACTTAGTCAGAAACCAGTCCCAGCCCTTAAACTGCTCGCCCGCCAGCATCTTCTCCAGTATGTCCCAATCCAGAGGCTCATCATGGAAGTCATTATCTAGATTTTCTCCATAATGCATCCAGATCGACGAGATGTTGAATGGCCAAGAGTTCGCACAACAACGTAGAGCCTTGATCAGGGTCTGGCTGTATGTGCGCTCGATCTTCAGATTTAAAGGCATCAGGATAGCCGTTATGCTGAGTCGATCAAGGACTGGTTCGACTGGGAGTGGGTCGATTTTCACTTGAGTTCCGTAGTTGTTAAGAAGGTTTGGGGGTCGCTGAAGCTCTGGAAATTCGTGCGAGATAACAGCATTTTTATCGGCGTCAGCTCGGGTCAGACTTCGCGACCCTGGAGGTCGGCCACGACCACGACGGGCCGGTGTCACGGGCGTGAACTGTTTGCCATGGTGCCGATTCGGATGTAGATTGGGAACGGCCTCAAATGAAGGCAGTGGATCGTCTGCCTTTGGCTGATTTCCATTCTTGATTTCCACCTTGGTATTCATTGGAATGACAGCCTTTTCCTGGCGCGGGGTCTTCGGCAATGGAGAAGTTTTTGAAATGGCTGCCTTCCACGGACGCCTGGTCTTGGCCTCAGCCCTACACTCATTGTGCAATTCCTGCTGCATTTTCGCCATGCGCAGCCAAAAGCACTCGCACAGGTTGACAGCAGCTTTAAACACGGGCGAGTCCGGACTGTTGTAGACTCTGCAGTTTTCGAAAATCAATAGAATGTCTTCCAGGACGTCTGCACCGCCCCAGTAGTATGTGTACTCAAATCTTTTCTTGATTGTGTTCAAGTCCATGGGGTTTGCGATTTTTTCGTGGTAGTCCCTGATCTTCAGCTTCACAGCATCGACAGGATGGCGAAAGTGCAGCGAGGAAGGGTTGCGCGACAACGCATTCACAGCGGTTCTCAGTTTTAACAAGAAATTG